TCATCGGTAACCCCCTCGGTCGCAAGCGCATGATTATTCTCGGTACCTCTATCATGATCATCGGCGCCGCTCTTCAGGCTTCTGCTATGACTCTCCCCCACTTCATCATCGGACGTATCATCACTGGACTCGGAAACGGCGGCAACACATCAACAGTACCAACATGGCAGTCAGAAACTTGCAGTGCTCACAAGCGTGGTAAGCTGGTCATGATTGAAGGTGCCCTCATCAGCGGCGGTATCATGATTTCCTACTGGATCGATCTGGGCATGTCTTTCGCTCCGGGCTCTGTCGCATGGCGTTTCCCTCTGGCGCTCCAGATCGCTTTCTGCATCTTCATTCTCGCCTTCGTCTGGAACCTGCCGGAGTCTCCTCGCTGGCTCATTCTCAAGGACCGTCACCAGGAATCCAAGGAAGTCATTGCTGCCATCGCCGACTTGCCTCTGGATGATGACTACGTCGAGAACGAGTACAAGGTCATGAAGGAGACCGTCGAGGAGATGTCCAAGGGCAGCTTCGCCGACCTCTTCACCATGGACAAGAACCGCAACTTCCACCGCACCGTCATCGCCTACGTCAACCAGATGTTCCAGCAGATTTGCGGTATCAACCTCATCACCTACTACGCTGCTGTCATCTACTCTGGACTTGGCATGTCTCGCTTCATGTCCCACCTTCTCGCCGCTCTCAACGGTACCGAGTACTTCATCGCTTCCTGGCCCGCCGTCTTCCTCGTTGAGCGTGTCGGCCGTCGCAAGCTCATGCTCTTCGGTGCCGTTGGCCAGGCCGTCACCATGGCCATTCTCGCCGGTGTCAACTCCCAGGAGGCCTTTGGCTTCAAGATCGCGGGAATTGTCTTCCTCTTCGTTTTCAACACCTTCTTCGCCGTTGGCTGGCTCGGCATGACCTGGCTGTACCCTGCCGAGATTGTCCCCCTCCGCATTCGCGCCCCTGCCAACGCTCTCTCCACCTCCGCCAACTGGATCTTCAACTTCATGGTAAGTCTATTTTCCCAAAGTGCTTCTCGAGTCATCAAACTAACTGAACCAGGTCGTCATGATCACTCCCGTCGCTTTCGACACCATTAAGCACCACACCTACACCATCTTCGCCGTCATCAACGCCTTCATCGTCCCCTGCGTCTACTTCTTCTTCCCCGAGACCGCCTACCGCTCCCTCGAGGAGATGGACTCCATCTTCGCAAAGACCGGCAGCGGCTGGAAGGGCGCCTTCACCGTCGTCGACGTTGCCCGCACCGAGCCCCACCGCTACGGCAAGAACGGCGAGCTCCTCATCCACTACGACGACGTCAAGGAGAACGAGGGCCGCGCCACCACCCGCGAGAACCGTGGCGAGGGCAGCAGCGGCGACTCCGTCAACAGCGCCCAGGGCGGCATCTGGACCCGCCAGGATGAGGAGACGCAGAACGTCGAGAAGTCCGAGAAGATTTAAATCGCTTCTTTGGACTGGTCCCCCTGGTAGGGAAACCTTTACAGCTGCTCGGCCAGGGGCCGCGCGACGAACGCAAGCGATGGCGCATCGCTACGAGTTACGCCCTCGCCGAACCAATTTGGTCGGCTTTCTCATGTTGGGCACGATATAATACCAAGTGTCATTTTCTTTTCTCTTTGATAGGGCTGTTGGGCTCTACGCATTGTTGAGATACCACTAGATTGAACTAGAGTTCACTACGCATTAGATACCACACGCAGATGTTAATGATAACACCGCGGTTCGTTGATAAACTTGGCTCCTGCTTCCCGAAAAGAAAATGTGAAACCTGATCTGATATGCACACGCGGCGGACATTGCTTTTGCGAAAGTCTAGACTTCTAAGAGTCCGGTCCCTGCATTTAGCGAAATATGCACAACTAGGTTGAACAGACCGTGACATCGGCCGTATGCCATCGGATCATCCATGAGTCGATAACGATGCAACTGCAGCCGCATCTGTCTCTGAGAAGCAAATGGTCCACGTACCGTAGACATTGTCTCGATTCCCAATGCGCCTTCGGACACTTCGGGTTGCCTCTCGCTAACAAACCCCTCGATGAACCAACACATTGGGCCCTTCTAGCCAACATGCCCTGCATGTCTCGCCCCCGAACGCGGAGTGCAGTCCGAACCACCGAGCCGCACATTTCCCCGGAGGACCACCCCCATGAGCCCTACCCCGCATACCCCAGGCCATTTGCCCCTGCTCCCCTGAACTCAATGTATCTCTCCGTGCCAACCAACGGCGCACCCATCTCATGTCAGTCCATGTGACACCAGGCACCTCTTTTTTGCCTCTTCAGCCTCGGGTTTCCGTTTACGGCAATCCGGCGCAGGAAGGTGCAAGCCCTCCGGCTGGCGCTCAGTCAGCTTACAAACCGGGCGAACGGCAAACGTTCCCAAACGTCGGACTTGGTACCCCTTTTGCCATCGACGTTTGCTGCCTTTTTGTTCGGTTGGGGCATCTGAAGCCGCCTCCGGCGTTCGGGCCGAGGAGGGGCGAAATGACTCGAAGCCAGATCGACGACGCGAGTTGTCTCAAACCCCATGGGGAAGCCGTGACGGGGAACAGAATACGGGGATTGAACGGTCACTGTGATGGGCATCTTAGTTCGGCGCCGTTTCTTTCGGTTGGCCGAAAAGAGTCGTTCGATGCATCTTCTGGCTGAGATCCGCTCCGTTTGTGCTGATCTTGTCTGTGCGGTGCCTTTCAAGAGCGCTGATGATGAACGGGCGACCGGTCGTTGCATTGATCCAGTACCTTAGCACCGGGTTTCCAGAAAGGTGATGGCCAACCAACTCAATTGAATATCCCACCGCGGGTATTCTTCCAGTCTCCCCTACTTGCGTCAAGATTGACTGTGAAGATCCTAGAGCCGCGGATATGCTAATGGTTGTGTGCAGAGTGCAAAGAATCCTGTTGCCATTGTGGCTACATTAAGGTGCGCCTATTTAATTGAGCTCCTGCATGTTTGAAGTGCTTGCTGGACCGCGTGTCTTGTGTTGGCATGGCTATGGCGCTGTTGAACAGTCCTCACTCCCGGCTGTTGAGTGCCGGGCCCGGAATAGTGGAGAGTCACCGGACCCGGAGTACGGCGTTGCAGCGCTCGTGGCGGGCCGGCCGTTGTGGAGATTCCGGTTCTTAGATCAAATCCAAGTCTCCGGCTGCGTATATTGCGACGCTATTGGACGAATTCTGGCCCAGTTCGGGCGCTTTCTCCCCTACTAAGAAATCCTCAACTGCGTGGGCCAGTTACTTCAATAGATCAATCCCAGAATCTAGCACCCAGAACTGGCTTGCTAATTCTTCATCCCTACCAGGCGGAACGGCTTGTGTCAGTTATTAGGCTTCGGGACTGGGATAGAAGCCAGGTAATTAACAGCTCCGGAAAAACAGTGCCAGTATATCACAGTCTTTGCAAAAAGACGATACTTCCAGTCTTCCGAAGACACTGAGCTCGGCGAGACAAATGATATGGACTGAAACTGCTTCTTTTCGCTTTCATCATACAGCTGTACGTGGCCAACATAAGGCACTAGCAGCGATTGGAGCGTGTCGTCAGGCTAAACCGTCGTAGATGAGCAGCCGATGAAGACAACAACCTCAAGCATGCTAAAAGACAGCGTAACGGGCATACATTTGCTAGGGTGTGAACTCGCACTTGTGGCTGGCGCTGATGAGAGTCCTGGTGTGTGATGATGGCGGCCGCGCACCGCAAAGTAGCTGACACATAGTCCACTATCGTGTTTGTACGTGCGCGATCGGAACCTGGTTGGAAGATTACATCTGTTCAGATGTTGGACACTGCCTAACTTCAACATAAAACTCGATGGACTGCACGCAGTAAGTGTTTATAATGTTTCGCTGAGAGGTTGGTGATGAAGGAATTGAAGAGGACTTGGACTTTCTAAAGCCCGATAAGCATGGAGAGTGTCGAGTGTCATGAATTCTGTTTGTTTTCAGTCGTCCACGAGGCAAACGCGATTGTGATCAGAGGAAATTCGCTTTCGGACTCAGGCTGCCTATGCCGAGATATTAATAGCTGGAGTGCAGGGCCCGTTACGTCAGTGGTTCGGGATCTAATAAAACAAGCTTTTTCTTACGGTAGTCTACCGAGTTCGAGAAGGCTGACTTACATACAGCTCGCCGTGAGCCTGAATCAAGAGTCAGGACCCATCCGCCTGCAACGGCGTCCAAATCCTACGCGTGTGTCAGGGCATCCCGACAGCGGACAGGCCTCTCAACGTCTTAACAGCTTCGGACAATAAGTTGTGAACGAAGTCCGCGCACTCGGGACTGGACTTTGTCATTTCCGCCGGCTTTTGGGGCCGGCAGAGCTGCCCGCATGACCGGTAACGCCGAAAGTAAGGTTTTAAGCTATAGGATTGCTTATTTCCAGACCCAAATGTCAGCAGATCTGCATCACAACTCTGCTATTTGAAACGGACCGGACCTTGAAAGAATGTGGGAATCGTTCGTATACATATTACGAGCGAGTCAGGACAGTCAGCCGCACCACAAAGCAAGAACTGCGGCGATCAGCCAATCTTATCCACTTTCCAGGAAGCTAAACCACATAGTGGTCATTTCCACGGACGCAAGAATACAGAGAACCACCTGATCATGTGTCGTTCATACTTGGTCTTGCAAGAATGTTGTCTTGATAGGAGATGTGCTTCATTAGTCACGAGATAGTATATAGCTGAGCATGGCGTACCAAATCCATCTGACAGAAATGTCGATGTGCGATTTTGGTCAAGTGCGGTTAAATAGATTTAAGTTACATTAGTGGTCCGCAACCCATATATTTCAGATGATAGCTTGCACTTTATTAAGAAGATCAAAGCTTCGCAAGGGCCCACCGTGCGTGGCATTCGGCAAACCGGCAACTAGGCACGATGGTAAGGTTGACTGTGACTGTCAAGATCACACAAGTCTTGTCATGCCGCTTCATTCACGGGGACTTCAATGGGTTCCACTGTGAAGAAATGGTCCTGGACAACTGATGACCGTTCTTGGTTTTGCCAGCCCCGTTGTGAATTTAAGTCAACTCTTTCCCGCCTCTACTTCAATTGCTCATCTGTACGAGCATCCATCTTTCAACTCAATTCTACAATCCGTATTGAATAGGTCATCAACGAAAACCTTTTCAGTCGTAAGTTGCTCCTCTGGACTTGTAACCTATGTTGAACTAATCCAAAGATAGATAATGAAGCTGTCACTCATTCTCTCCGGTCTCTATGCTGCTGGCTTCGTCACAGCCATCACGAAGACCTGTCAACCTTTCACCCTGCACTCCAAGGGAACGGCCTGCACAAACGACGCTGGCGCTTGCATCATGGGCTCATGCAAGGATAAGTTCCTGTGGCTCAGGTGCACTTGCCCCGACGACCACCCTCACGTTGGTTGTACCTCTACTTGCGGTTGAGTACCTCTACTTGCGGTTGAGAGGATTGATCATACTGGCCAAACGCGTTTGAAGGTCAGCCTGGAGCGCTTGAGCAACTTCTTCTCACTCGGATGGACCTGGAGAAGGAGGATTGAACTGTACAAATGTGGGACTAGGATACTGAACACACTCAAAGGCACGTACATAGGAACGCAATATTAATGGAAGCAATCGAACGTTGCTACCCCTCTTCCACGCTGGAATCTGTCCTCTTGCCCTTTTTCTCGCGACCCTCAAAATGACAGGAAGAAGTTGCGCTTAAAAAGAAAAAAGCGGAAGTTGCTTGTCGTGTCTGGTCCACTCTGTCGTCATCAACGATGGCGACAAAACCGTAGAAATGTGTATTTAAACCCCCGGTGCCTAGCCAAAGATTTTACTGTCCCTTATGAGATTTCAGAGTAATACACTTGGAGGTCTCGTAGTCGAGTAAACAGCATCATGGTGGAGGATAGCCGGTGCTCGAAAGTAAGGTATTGGCAGTGGTCATCCGGTTGTTAAGGCTGCTGCTTGTAATGAGTGAAAACACTCTGAACTTGAAGTTGGTGACGATAAAATAAAGGCTGGAAGACAAAGTACTTTGTTCCAGGTCTGCAGCCACATATTTTGCGATTCGTCCCGCTGATTTCATAGCAGTTGCATCCTTAGCACTTTCAGTCCCTTACCAGATGACCAGCAGAAGAGCAATATGAGATGGCTGAAATCGAGGGTGTAGTTCCATCTTATCGTGCACATTGCCGGGCCTGATTCAAACATTCACCCGTGGAGTTTTGTTGTCCGGGCGGATACTTCGAAGCAGCTGAGCGGAGAAGTACTCATGTCAGGTCTAATAGTTTATTCTATCCCATGAATTTTATTATCCCCGTCGTCTCCGCTGTTCCTACCGTCTCTAATGCGTGCCATTTCTCTATCCATGTTGTCGTTCGCATTATCCTCGTTGCCGTCGTTGTTCTCGTCATTGTCGTTGTCGTCCCTGTTGTCGTCTATCCACTACTCGCCCGGACAGCTACAAATATTCCCTCGGATAGCAAAGCTCTACCCGTAAGTCAAAACTTAATGAGAGACAGAACAAATCGACTAATAGAACCCAGTGAAGGCTTTGAAGGGGCGTGCCTCCTCAGTCCATCCTCATTATGCATCCGATGATTCAAGTCGACAGCTTCTTAGTTTCAACTCATGAAGATGCATATTGAAATTTTTCACTAGAGATAATTAGCCGACGGAGCAACGAGTGACATAGACTTCTAGACTCCAATTTAGAAATCACTGTCTCGTTGAATTAATGTTGTGGGTCGATTCAACTTATGTATCTACCATCGTATGAAGCCACCGCGGGGTGACTACGCAGTGATATCGGTCCAATCAATATCATGGTACACTAATCGGCACGACAGGTTAGTAACTTCATAAAATTTGCAGAAGCCTGAGGTCCGTTTACTGGTTAATTACTACTATTGAATCGTCGTCTCTCCGTCTCGTGCGGGCATTGGCAGGCTGAGCTGCCACCTCTACACTAGGGCGCAACCTCCTGCCCACGAAGACTTCTTCGAGGGAATAAATATGCCTGTTTCTGTCTCCTCATATGTCTAATAAACAACACAATAATCAATTTTGGTCTCTGAATTCAGACCTCTCCTAAAAGAGGTTTGAACTGCAAGCCCATAATATGCGTGCGTCAGAATCAACTATGTACTTTGAGAAACCGGACAGGTGCCCATGAAGCCAAGTTCAATGCAGACCAACTGGGACTTCAATCAAATTGATACTACATTTGATATCTTAGCCAACAAATGTAGCGGCTCATTACCTTCTTGGCTGGGCCAAGTGCCGGATTATGCAGACATCCGCTAGGCAGCACCGACGTCGTTAGAACCTTCTTCGAAGACTGTAACAATAACAATGATGATTTCGGATTGATCTGATAAGCCATCAAGCCGTCGTTCAATCTTGATGCAAGCCATTTCAGGGCACTAAACTAGTTCAACTGGTGGCTGACGACAGCTGTGAGAGAATGCGATTGATCGACGGGATTGCGTATTATTAAGAAACGGGATTGTCAACTATGCCGAAGACGGGAAGATCAGTGACCACGTCATGCTGATGTCCTGAGTTCGGACCACGGGAGGGATCGTGCGAACAAAACTAATGCAGTCTTTCATGTGCCGGTCTCCGACGATGATTTTCGATGGCAAGACCATCGGAAATTGAGACGCAAGTGGAAAGATTCGCCGTCTTCATTTGAAGCATCTCAAAGCCTGCATCTGTCTGGCAGTCAACCGATTTTGAATTCAGATGGCGTGTCACGAGGTGTTCAGGTTATTCTAAAAATACCCTCGGACTTTCCGATAAATTACTTGTCTGGAACTCGCAGTGAGAACATGCCTTGTCGAAACCTGACCTGCCATCCCGGAATATGCCGCGAGAGCTTCAACGTCAAAATAGCTCCATCACAAGAGGTGTCCTCCCCACGGTTCTCGAAATACTTCAACTGGGCCAAATCCTGATGTTCTCAGATCTGCAGGTGCATTCACGAACAAAACATGAAACGGTTTCATTGCCATGTCACCCGAGGCAAAGCCAAAGATCACACTGAAGGAGGACTTTGCTGGCACGGCGGCGGTGTGACCAATGAAGATTCATGAACAAACAGATCGCCCCGTGAAGCTAAAAGTATTGTTTTGCAGATCAAATTTTTACATGGAGTCTCTGGCCCATCTAGTAGTCGATGACAACAGCGGAAGTTCTCCGGGAGGAGCACCTGTTACAACACGAGGATTTTAGTCAAGTCAGAAAGTAACGGCATCCGAGACTGGAAAACAATGAATGAATCGGGTCATCTCCTTGAACTATTGATTGGTTGACGTGAACTGAGGATGAATTACATGAATTGGGAAATCGTGTGTTACGACAGACATGATAATCACGGGAAGCCATCACTGTTGCACAATGTTCTAGGGGGGTCGCGATGTGCCGCACGGTAGGGTATGACGGCAAACCTCTTAGCCCCCACCTAGCAACCGCGAAACGTGTTGTGGGTATGAGAATGTGGCTGTGTTGTGATGCTTGCCAATATGGCAATGAATTCCCGATATCCCGAATCGAGATGGATCGGCTGAAGCGTCGCAGCCAGCTCCAGAAACGCAGTGCAACCTCGGCCCAGTGCCAAGGCGGGTTGACTTCAGGATGGACAGCTGGGTTTATCGACCTTACATGTCTACATCCATTCTTAATGGGACACAATCCCGCGTATCTAGGGTCGTAATAAAGATAAACTGAATGCGACATGGTCCAATGAGTAGTTGAAGTAGAGAGGATGCATTCTGACGGCCAGCCCCATCTTCGGCCCACCGATTACCAAACTCGGAATCCGCGGCGGCTACGGAGCTAAGCAGCGCTCTACCCTTGGAGGCTGTCACAGAATCGCGTGTAAACAGCCTAGCTCCAACATCGTCCTATCTCTCGAGTGAGCATGTTTGAGGTGCCCTCGAGGCCTCCATACGTATGGATAAGAGCGTTGAAAGTGGAGTTCATCTACCGCAAACCGGGAAAGATCGGCTTTCTCTCACAGACATCGATTGAGCACTGGCTACCCCGGTCTTCTGGCAGGCCCTCCAGCCAATAGCGATCGGTTTGTTCCTGGTTTGCATTGAAAGCTGCTATGGGGGACCCCTGACAACTTTTTCAAGAAGCTTATTTGGTCCTTCGGGGCCGTGTCTCCATCCGCCAAGGTGTCTCGGAAAATCGTGCCCCGGCCTGCCAGCGGCTTAGGATGACAGGTGACATGATGTCCTTTACCTTCTGTCAACCACACGACTGGAAACGAGCAAGATAATTCTTTGGGTTCCAAGCCTGCCCATAGATGATTCCAGCGGCACGCGGTCAGAATTTGCTGGACCGCCAAAATCTGAAACGTCGCTTGAACCATGGCGCGGTCGATGCTCGGTTTGAATACATTCAGCCCTAACTACGTGCAGATCAACGAGCCTCAAACCGGCTGCTTGGGTCAACAAGTCGAGTCTTGGTCAGTAGCTGCACTGTCCTTACTTCCACTATCTGTGCACGCTCTCGTGTGATCCAACTCCGAGGACAATTTCGCTGGCATGCGCAGAGAATTAGTCCAGTATGAGACATTTGCCAAGAATGAGCGCTGCGGTGTCTATATCGCGTATCGTTCTGGGTTTCCATAATCCCTAGGCTTCTGTGAGCCCCTTTCAACGGCTGCGACAGCTGCAGATAAATGGCTAACCAACTCGATCTGGACGCTGATGCGACGGCGCGTTGCATTAGCGGCTACCATGAAACGATCGCTTACATATCGCCCACCTGTTTAGAGGTCGACTTTGGGTTCCTGATCGATAACAATCATGATCTACGGAACATGCGGAGAAGAACAACTTGAGCCCCAAGAGCTTGCGAATCTGAGTAAGATGCCCCTGATTGTGATACAAGGAACCCCAGGCGAGTTCGTCAGGCACCTATAGCGTTATAAGGGGAGCCTAGGCACAGCAATGACTTGCGTCATTTCTTCACCATTCTTTTGTCTCAGTCTGATTCATCTCAACTCGATGGGTTGACACCTTACCACCTTGTCACAAGACGTCAGTTGTCACAGATGACATTTCTGGGCAAGCTCCACCTGCTCTGCCGTCCGCTCCTTTCGGACAACGTCCCCGACTTCAAACTACCGTACCTTACAAAGATAGCGACTTCCTTGCCATATTTCTGCGCATGCATCCCTGGGCCTTCCCGGCCTTCATGAACATGTTTGTTCATCAAGCCCACCCCCGCCCGGCCGTGGTGTGAGACCGGTTTCAACGAGAAATTCCCAGAGACCAGGAAAGCTCATCTGATGTTTCTTCACGTGTAACTAGTATCACAGCGAGGGGTCGAGTATCAACGCCAATTATCCCGCAGCCGGAGCTGGGGAAATCAATCCAAACATGAGTCCCACACGGAAAAGGCGGTGCCGGGACGCGACGCAGGGGCTGATTAGTACTCAACTTCGCTTGCGTGTTTGGCTTTTCCAAAACATGAGCCGCACTTAATATCGACATGTTGGCACATCTCAAAAGCGATTGGGTCTTGGTGGAAGACGTCAGATTCCAAATCCAGCGCACGATATTTTTGCACAATGTCGACCGCCAACAGAGACTCCGAGAGCCCGCAGAACAGCCCGGCGCCCAAGACAGCGAGAGGAGTCATGAACTGCAGGCCGTGTCAGATCCGCAAGGTTGGTGATCATAGTTTGGCTGTTAAGCTTGTTTTCTGATCGACGTGCGGGTAGATCAAGTGTGACAGAGCACTACCTGCCTGCGGAGTCTGCCACCTCTACCAGCGGTCTTGCTTCTACGGTATGAAATGCACCTTCTTCAATCATTCACTAAGCTACCACATTGATTGTTCTCAATTCTAATCAACACGTAGAGGGAGTCCCTAAGAAGCGAGGGCCAAAGAAGGAGTCGTTGAGTGCACTCATCAAGAGGATCGATGGTCTCGAGGAGCTTCTCAAGTCAGACAAGACGCCGACACCACCAGGAACCGACATCATCAACACAGACTTTGCTGAGCCGCATGTCTTTGGAGGCGGCATTTCTGAGCCCTGCGGATCCGCATCATCGGATATTAGCCCGTTCAGTAATTTCAGAGGCAACAATTTTGAGGCCAGTTCGTAAGTATTTCCCTTCTTAGTCCTATGCTAAGCACTTCACATACTGAACGACCTTCAGAGATGTTTCGGCAACTATCAATGCTGATGGTCTTGTGGATGTCTACTTCACAAAATTTCATCGCAATCCTTACGACATCCTGGATGAATTCACGACGAGGCAGAGGTTAAAAGCAAATCAACTATCTAGATCAGTCCTGTATGCAATTTGCGCTGTAGCCACGGGGTAGGTCACGATGCCATACATACCAGGTGGGAAGGAGTCCTAACTGACAGCTTCAAAGGTTCTCCGAACGACCTGGGAAAGGGCCAAGTAGTCATGTCTCTGGAGAGACGTACGCGGCATGGGCACAAAGGGAGATTGACCCTTGTGAAGTATCACTTGACTCATGCCAGGCCTTGCTGCTTCTCGTAGCAGCCTTTGCAGCGATGGGGGATGGCAAGAGGTCATACGTTGTTCTATGTAAGCTGCGGATTGATATTAAATGTGTACCGCCCAGTTGCTAACCCAAAACTGAAGCACAAGCAGTCGGTATGGCAATGACACTCGAGCTATACTCTCAGCCTAGCGACGGTGTGCATGATGACACTACCAAACGGGTCTTTTGGACATGTTACATCATGAACACGTTTGTGTCTACGTGGCTGGAGCGCCCGTCGTTAATGGATGATTCGTTGATCAAGGCCGACATTCAATCGTCAAGACAACCTAGCCACAGCGGTTGGAGAACAAGCAACGATTTCGTCGCAATCCCCAACAACGACTTTCGGAGGTTTTCTGCCAGCCCGAAAGAACCGATTGACGAAATTCAAAAGCTCGTCTGGATGGCTCAGATTTTGTCAGAAGCGAACAGGTATCTACTTTTGAGCGACACTGCATCGCAAGCAGCATACTGCCAGAGGCACAAGATCCTCCACGACCTGGACGTATGGGCCTCCAGCATCGGATCGAGTACGGATTTACCGACCGAATCTCAGGGAGGACCCGGAATGAATCTCCTGTTCATCTCCCGTCTCGTTGTTCACCTCATCCATTGCCTTATTCATAGGCCCATTCTACCGCTACGCTTGAACGAGCCCTCGGGTGTGAAGATGATACAACACTGGGTAGTAGAAGCCACGGAGACTGCCTTTCGTCATGCAACGGCGATTCTCGAGCTTGTTGGCCAAGCCAGAGAGACAAGCAACATGCCATTACCACCATTCGTTGGTTTCTGCATCTTCACTGCCGCAACAGTGCTTAATTACGGTATTCATTATGCGTCGGAACAGATTCCAGAAGCTTTGGCCGTCAACGTGGCCCCTTTTGCTGGTTCGCCAATCCCAGCAAGCTTCTTCGCTTCATCAAGAGATCTGTACAGTCGCTCATTAGATGAGCTTTCTATCCTCAGCGACACATTCACATCAGCACGGCTTTACATGCTGAGACTTGAAGAACTAAAGTCGGAGCATGTTGCCTTATTAAATGGAAAAGTAGCCGGCTACGTTCCCAGTTTCTCGAATCGATTCTTCCAAAGATATTCGCCGGCATTTTTACGAAGAGTCCAGGGGTTCCAGACAGGAGATTCTACTACGATTCACTCGAAGATGAGACTGTCTCAATCCCCGTCTTCTGCCACCCATGAAGAAAGGTTTCCGAGAGAACCCAACCCATCAGTGGCCTGGAATATACCACCGTCCACTCACACCAGTAGGCCGTCGTTTACGGTACCGCGTACCAACAATGTTGGGATTCCAAACACCCACAACCCTGGGCACCATAGGTCTTTCTCGGATAGCTTGTCCATGAGCCAGTCCTATTCGTTTGATTCAAACGGCTCATTGTCTCACAAACAATTACCACTGTGGTCGGGATTTCAAGACGCCACCCCGAGACGAGGAGACCCACGCAGCCCAACAATATTGGGACCTCCAGAACAATTAACATCTCCAATTTGCCAACCAGAGGGTGTGGTAGGAGGTGGCTCAGACCACTGGGGAAACATGAAGAGCTTTCCAGGGGGCGAACAGATTCCATACCAGGTTCTTGGCGGATCTGTTGCAGCGGCCGGTCCAGCCTATCAGCCCCAAGAAGCGCTCGGAAGTTCGTTTGTGCCATTCCAAAATTTCTCTGTACCATAGTTGAAACATCTGTCTGCAATTCAAGATACCTCCAAGCTTCCAATTGTTGAAGTAACCCTACAAAACGGATTGAGATTCATCTGCGACACCGCTAAGCCTATGGTAACCCCAAGTAGTGGGCCCCCATCACGGAAAGGAGGAACCGGTCTTGACGTCGTATAGCAACTCCACACCTCTTTTCGTTTTCGCGATGAGTGAGTCTTTTTGCGATCGCCACATGTGTACAAGCAAGCTTAGCCACGTTTGTTTACTACACGATAAAACAGCGGGCTCCATCTAGCGTGGCTTGTCAAGGTCTTGACAGACATGGGCAGGGGATGTTCCCTGGGACCGATCGTCCTCTAGTACAGCCCTAATCGAATCCTTCTAGAACGCCCAAGTCCGATCCGTTTGAGGTTTATCTGCTATCCGGCCAATCCGTCGGAGTGACGGTCAGAATATCCTAGGGCGACCCACTTCGTTCTTCTAGACCCCTTTCGTGGGGTCCCTGGAATACTCAAGGTCATCCTTGGTCGCTGTTGCGGAAAACCCGAGCACAGAAAGGAACGCTCGTTTTATATACGACAAGGCTAGACATCATTTCGAATAGTTGGGCTACTAGATTGTGCGGTTTGCGTGTTGAGCCACCCTGCACTCAAGGTCCTGTCCCATGGCATTGAATGTGGAGATCGGTGGCTCAATATTGCCCTGATTCAGGGGGAATAACAATTTCACGACATGATGAAATGAGAAAACTGTGAGCTTATACATAATAAAGTACCTCGTGGTTCGAGAAAGATTACATCCAGCCTGACATAAACATATACATGAATAAGATTGTCCGCGAAACAAATCAAGAGCGTCCAACGATACGAGTCGAAAGGAAACCTGACCCTAAGCAGAGCGCTCACCTGGTAGCAGTGAACTGTTTCTAGACAATAAGAGACTTGATACGTCCACGCCGAAGGGATCAGATGCTCAAGACAAGGATGCAGTCGCCACGGCGGTTGAGAATGTAGTGGGCACTGCTGTTATCCCCGTCGCTCCGGCCGAAGTGGTGGCGGTGGCACAATTTGGGTTCTCTCGAGGGCCAACTGTCAATGTGACTGCTTGGCAGCTATCCAATGGCTCAGTGCCATGGCGGAGCAGACCACTTCCACTGTCGCAGACATACAGTGCCTTCTTGCCATTGGACTCGCACTGCAAAGCGCCATCTACGACGGCACATTCAAGGAACGAGTAAGCCCCAGACACTCTACCCGCTGTGTATGTGTATATCAGACTGTTGGTGTTGGTATGCACCGAGAAGAACTTGTAAGAAGAGTCGAGCCAGGTCTGAACATGTGTATCACTCGTCAGAGTGAAGTTCAAGGAGGCTTTTGTTCCAGCTAGATCGATGGCAGCGAAATCAGAGTAGAGGTAAAGGTTGTATGGGCCCTCTCCGGAGGCAAGAGACGCTTGAATGCTGACGGGAGTTGCTGTAGCGGCGCAGGGCTCGGGTACGCTGACTGTGGAAGTCGGCACCGGAGTAGCTTCAGCCGTTGTGGGAACGGGGGTCTCGGTGACCGGAGGCTTCTCCCTTGTTACCCGGAACCAGGGGGATACCTTGTACTGCCAGTCGTTGAGGTTGTTGGGGTCGCCGAAGGTGCGAAGAGTGCGGCAGAGGAGCTTGTATTCACCGGCAGGGATATCTTCCCCGTGTGCGAACTTGTTCTGTGGCTTGGCGTAGACACCTCCACTGTTGCGAGGATAGTTCTTGAAAGGGAAGCTCGTGATGGTTTCGGAGAGGCCGGAGGGCTCAGTGATGAATGAGCCGAGGTACTTGTTCTGGCCTGGAACCGGGGGGTAAACCCAGTCTGACTCGTTCCAATCGCGGGCAACATACTAAACGCATACAATTAGTTTGAAGCAGACCAAAAAGAGGGGTCTTTACTTACATCGAAACTGATTTCTCGAGTGGACCAGAGAACGTTGAAGTAGGGTTGCATGACGTCCCCTCCCTCTTCGAACGTATAGTTGTGACCCTCTTCCATGAGACCTCCGTATCCGCTGAGAAGCAGAGGAACACCACGTTCCATCTCCCAAATGTCACTGGCATAGATGGATCCCTTAACGCCTGTGAATTAAGTCAGTGAACAGGACCACAGGGTAGCACGGGGCAGAAGCAGTACCCATGTAAGTGACGCGAACAGCTTCTCCATGAGATCCTACAATCATGATAGAGCCACCGTAGACAGGAAGCTTGATAGCCTCAGACGCGGATGGCTCAGAAAATGCGACAGAAAAAGTACCACTTTCTCCTGGCCCCAAAGTTATCTCAGTAGTAGAGAAGTCGACAGTTGCAACATTGGACTCGTCAGTGGCATATGGTGGAGACAGCGAGATCCATGCATCTCCTGCGCCCTTGGAGAAAATTGTGGTCCCAGCCTCATGATAGAACTGATAAGTCACCGACTCATCCCCAGCATTGGTAACCTTGACCTCATGAGTGCTTTGAAAATGATCAGTGTCGTTGAGGTTGAGAGTAGCTGGGCTGACCGTAGTCGAGTAACCGACGACTTTGAAGGCGTCGACCAAGCCAGCACCCTGGTGTACAACCGAGCTAAGTACCAAGTTAGTTGAAGTTGCCGGATCCATACAGCAGGTGTCCTTACGCCAAAGCATCTGTGCCGTCGTAGTGACGGATAGGTTTGCCACTGGCAACAATCTTTTCGTGGGCCAGCTTGGCTCCTCCGTCACCCAGGGCAGCTTTACCACCATTGGCGGCAAAGAACAAAGCTGCAACGCCAGCAATCTGAAGACGGTTAAAATTGAACAACATTCAAACAGATGGTGAACTTTTACATAGGGAGTAGCCATGCTTGTGCCGGAAAACGTGGCCCAGCCACCTGAGCCAAGCGGGAAGGTTGAGAAGATAGAGCCGCCTAGGAATATTAGTTGAGGCTTCTTCAAGCAGGTGTTGAACGAGGGCATACCTGGAGCGGAAATTTGAGGAGCCATCCGAGCATCCAATGTCGGACCCCAAGACGTGAATTGGTCGATTCTGCCCCCGGCGAATGATGGCCGATCAATTGCAGCGGGTCTGTTGTCGTTCACGAAGTCGAAAGTAACAGTTTGGTTGTTCTCGTGTTGCTTCACGAGCCAATCTCCGTCCGTGTAGGTGATCAAGCTGTCTGTTACCTGGCGTTAGACGTAGCCTTAACGATATTTCAGCAATGACTTACATCCTTTGGGCTGTTCTTCAGCGTTGTAGCGAACTCGAGCGGGAATCTCCCAATCGGAACCCTCGTAGTTGTAGATCAAGACCCAGTCAACCTTACCCATTAATCCGCTGTCCGTTCTTTGCCATCCACAATCGGCGCGCCTGAATCTGTCAGCAATATCACTCGAAGCACATGAGTCGGAGCTTCTTACGGAATGACCAGAACATTTGTCTCTGGGATGGCAGAAGGGTATCCGCATGCAGTATGGTCTCGAGGGTCCGAAGGCCACGACGCTGGGAATGAACCATTGACATTCCATTGCACTCCGTTGTCCGCGAGATAGATCTGCAGTTGATGGTGAGGACAATACATCACCGTGATAAGAGCTTCGACTTACGATCTCTCTGGATTCACCATTGCTGGAGCGCGCAATCAAGGTCCAGGCCACCAGCTCGTCATGTTCGACGCTGCCAACAGTGGTGCTGCCGATGCCGTTGCCACCACTGCTTGTGTACCAAGGTCCATCTCGAACTTTGTCAGCGCGATAATCTCAGAGTGCTTATAGAGCATGCAAACTTACTAGTTTCACCTGCATTCCCTGCTGCAATCGACACAAAGGTGCCAGCAGCTTGGATAGCCGTCGCCACCTCAGCAAGGGGAGTGTCTACGAAGCCGCGATTGGATCCAAGAGATGCACTGACAATATCAGCACCCTCTTCATGGGCCCGCAGAAAGCCAGCGATGATGACATCCTCGTAAGTGCTGCCACCGCATCCAAAGACCTTGTAGGCACGCAGCTTCGCAGATGGTGCAACGCCTGGAACGAACTCGTTGCTACTAGCAATAATACCAGCAACGTGAGTACCGTGGCCGTTGCAATCCATAGGGTCCTCGTCTGGGATGTAGATGTCACCTGGTACGTAGTCGTCTCCAACGAAGTCGAAGCCGCTCTCAACCTTGAATCCAGAGCCTAAGCCACCACCGAGAGCGGGATGGTTGTAATCAATTCCAGTGTCAACAACGGCCACGACGACATCTTGGCCGAGATACCCATTAGCATGTGCTAGCCCCACGTTGGTGTCGTTATGGGGGTTCCAGGTGGGAAACTGAGACTCGACAACGGCTTTGCCGGTAACAGGAATACTGAAGAGAGCAGCTGGCCAGACCTTCTCAACCTCAGGCAAAGCTTGGATGTCCGCGACAGAATCGGCGGAGCCATTCTTGAGGTCGAACGAAGCACCATGGAAAAGCTGGGAGTTGAAGCTCACAGCAGGCGAGGCGTCCTTGCCAGATTCCGCCAGGGTGGCGAAGAAGCCTTCGGAGTCCTTGAGGTATGATCAGACTATATTTACAACTACTGCGTGTATGACAAGAGAACTCACCGGAGTGCCATCACGCTTCCTGAACTTCGCTGAACCGGCCCCGGAGAACTTGACGATGTATCTTCCACTGTCTCCTGATACTGGGGAAATAGGTCCAAGAATAGTCTCGGGATCAATGGAAGCGGTCTGTCCAAGGACGACCCCAGAGAGGAGCAGTGAGCTCAAACCGAGCAGCGATCTGAATCCCATGTTGCACAGCCAAGACAAACGAGACGTCTTGAAAGTGATGAAGCCTCAAGACCGAAGAAAGTAGAGTCTCTGGAACTCTGCCGGTGGGATATGTGACATCAGTTGAGAACAAACTTGGTCATTAAGTACATTCATTGTGCCAGAAAACGCGGTAATTACTTGTGCAGAACTGCCTGCAGCCAAGAATGTTTGTTCCACTAGTAGATGTTTCCCTGGGTATAGACATGGCTCGATGCAGGGGAGCTATCGTATTAAGTGGTTCAGTTGCATCGGAGTGGGCTAGATTGAACGTCACTGATTAGATTAGATGGCAGCTTCCTGCTCGGTGTTAGTCGGTGGTGGTTGTTTCTACCGAGGTGGTATCCAAGGGTAGCTCTTGGCAACAACCCGCGCCAATCGTACCAACAGAAAAGACAGGCCCTGAGGCGAGATGCGCCACGTAAGGATCCGAAGCAGGAACAGACGCGGTCGTTATGCCCCATATGGCCAAAGATGGCTCACAAAACGCGGGATATGAGATGTGAAGTGAACTGACTTTCGGGAAACATCACATCTCTGCGTTCGAAGCCGGGCTGTGCTCCGATGCATCATGCAGGTCCGAACCTGTTTGTTTACTCCCCAGACATTTCCGAATGGAGCTCGGAAAAGAACCGAGAGGCGCTCCATGCTTGTTGCTAACATGATCTTCAGGCAGGATTGGACTCGCTTAATCAACTTTATGAATGCTGCTTATTTCCTCAGGGCTGGAACTTGATATCACTAATCCTCTCCGGCCCCTCTGACCCACCTGAACCATTGCGGACGATATCTGGATAAGCGACGTTTCCGTGATGTGGTCGTGTGATTATTTCCGGTACCGGACGTCATTTTCCACCGGGCTCGGAGGATGGTCCACCGGATCCGAGCCGTCTCCGACAGACGTTATGGACCTCAGGATAGCCAGTCTGTATTGATGGAGAATAACGGCGCATAACTTTGCCTCTTACAGGTGTCGGGAGACCCTGTAACTCCCCTACATAATTACACACGGAGTCTTTCGCAAAGGAATGCATGGAAGATCTCTAACACCGTCTACGTGCTGCATACCATGGCTGACTTGGTTTTCCTTATGGATAGCGACAGTCTTGATTTTGAAATGTAAGATGCCGCCATTCACGTTGTATGAAGCAGTTTAGCCTGTTGGAAATCAGGGTTGCATTATGCATGATCATAGTACCACCCCAAGAAGAAAGCCAAGACCGAAGTGAGGGGACCCTGCATGCCGCGTGATATCCCCATTGTGGTGTGATGAGGGGTAGTGTTATTCCAAGGACAGGCCGGCGGGAACGGGGTTTTAGACTGTCCGTATCTTGCAATCCTTCGGGTCTTGATGCATCCGATTATTAGACCCAACTGTTTCGCAGAGAAGAAAATATCCCGACTGGAGCTATGGAATGGCGCAGTTTGGAAATTTAAGTTCGTTCACCAGTGAGCAATAAGAAAATGATGGAAGGCGGCCGACAAAATTGTCAAGTTTCACACAGGAGCCTTATAGGGATTTGTTCTGATATTCAAGCTCCTTTGACTTGTCTGAATGTGGCCGGTCAATGGGCATTAGTGTCATGCTGTGTGGAATTGTCTTCCAAGGCCATCGTCGCAAAGGTGGCCTTGTAAGTTTTGCTAAACATACTCTAATCCTAGACTAGGAGTCTATCCAAGCCCATGTTTCTACCGATGAGAATTTTCCAGAGATGAAAAGAAGAAAGAGGAAAAAGAAAATGGAAACAACATTGGTTGGCGTCTTCGATACCAAAACTTGCTTGTTTTCGAGAAAGCCCTCTTGCGCCTTCAAACAAACATAAGAAAACCGGGGTTCGGAGCGTACAGGCAATGCCCCTCCCCATTCAGGTCAATTGACTCACTTGGAACCCGGATATCGCATTCGCGAGAGTCATGCCAAGGCTTCTGATACTCGGATGGTCAAATCACGTCTTGGTGTTTTGAGTTAAGTCAATGAGGCTCTTGTCTCATAAAGCATAATCACATGACATCACTCAAATCCGACAGTCAGAGTACTGCGATTGCAGAATTTGGCGAACAAAACATGCGATCAATAATTCAGAGACACCAAATTTGTCATTTGATAATGGATTCTCGCAGATACTCATCACGTAACACAACCGACACATCGGGATGCCAGATCCTGAGAAGATTCTCAGAAAAACAACGTGCTCAGCCACGTTGGGGGATCGACGGATGCGAAACAGGGCTCGACAGATGAACTTACAGGCACATCATATAGAGAGCAGAAAACTTGAGATGATGCCACCCAATCATGGATGTCTGACATCAGACCGGTCACTTCATGGTGCCCAGCATTCTCGGTGTTAATGGGTTCATACCGTGTTTGACTCGAGCAGCGACGATCGGATTCGAGTCCGAGTGACAAGTTTGACAAAATCATGCCATTCGGATGACAGAACCTACATCAAGTTGATAGGCTGTCACAGGTCAAGTTCGTTCTCGAGATACCGGGCCTGCTCAGATCACGGGAAGGCGTCGTTCCAGTTCCAGGCGTGGTGGCGCTAGCAGGCATGATGCCCCTTCGGCAACGAGTAATAAGCTTGTCATTGATAGGCTTCACTCCTTCCACAGCTATTTTCTACTAAATTTATCTGAGACGGGTGCTGACCCCAGTTCCAAGTTGGCGGACGGCAGTCTAGTTCCCGCGGCTAAACGGCCTTTGGTCCACAAATGCGGTTAACACGGGAACATTTAGACCACGTCAACGTCGAAAGAATCGGAGGCTGTTGCCGGCGAAAACCTGCAATGTTGCACCATTCGATCCATGCATTAGATTGCTGCACCTAGTGTAATGAGACAACAGTCGGGCAGCTAATGCAGGAGCAGGAGCAAGAGCCAGAACATTGAGAGATGGATGCAGTCTTCTCGCGATGTCCACAACTTCAGGCCACCTGCAGCGCTTAAACTTTAACTCTAAAAACCATCTCAAATCCGATGTCGAGGGTGCTCCTTGAGACGGTCTGGCATGTCCCCGTCTCAAATCGCCGAAACAGGTATTTCACACGATCAATGTCCGCCTCATCCCTTAGCTTCCGTCAGAAGATGTCTGAACTTTTCAGCACGGGCCAAGACAAAACAGTCGAGGCTAACACGGCACCGTTGTTGCGATTACCCCAACCGCTGGCCTCGGCCCCCGTGGAAGGCTAGCCTACCCCGCGGGCACATTTTCGATCTCCGACGTGAGCTTGGCGTGGTGCCAAGTTTTCCATGGAAGTATTTGAAGCGAATGAGGCAGTGCCTGACCGGTCGGCACAGGCCTGCCGGTGGTCTCCACGTTGGTCCAAATGCTTGGGCTGAGGATCATATTGATCATAAGGCTATATGGAGACGGCTAGTATAGACGAGTCGGCCGGGGATGTATCCTGCACGCTCAGGCTACTTCATCATCTGAAATTGTCAGTCCGGTACCGACTCCGAGCCGAGATGGCAGAACTTGCCAACTTGGTGGCAGACTTTGCAGCTGAATGGATGGCAGGATTCAACCTGACACCAGACGAACGCACCCATGCTGTCAATCTGCATTCCTGGAACTTGCACTGCCTATTTTCCCACGGGGTCTCAGATAGGAACTTGGCTGTTCTAGCAGATCCTCGGTTTCACCAATATGATGGTCATGTAAGGGGGATGCCGTAATTTGCCGTAAGGCCAGCACCGTCTAGTAGGGACGCCGTATTGCCAGCATCTAGAGGCCGTCATTATACAAGGCCGTTGTATAAATCATCACATATCCTCTTCTTCCGGCCTTGAAACTTGCCCACCACCTTCACCACAAGCTTTCATGCGCCGGGCGCCTTCACTTCTGTTCACTCCTTATTCCTTTAACTCTGGGTAACCACCTGACATTGACTGTCATCACCTTCTTTCGTTGATCCGAGATCCGATACGCCCGTTTTTTTCCTCTCCTTCAAGTCACTCAACACATCCGACGTCTTTTCCATCACCATGAAGGCAGTTTCCGTTCTCTTCTGGGCCAGCCTTGCCGCTGCTGCCGTCACAGACTCCGGGCTCAACGCCGCCCGCGATGAAGTCGCCCGCGATCTCGATGCGATCACCGAGGGCGCTGCAATCTTTGAAAGAGACGAGGAGAACGCGCTTCCGCTCTCTCTTGCCGCACGGGCCGAGGATGAGGAGGATGGCCTGACTACCCGTGACACCGAGGAGGGTAACCACTTTGGAGACCTCGTCGCCCGACAGGCGAATGGAACTGCTGGTGGTAAGGATACTTATAGTGCCTATTAAACGCTCATGATAGCCGGCTAACACGTTCCTCAGGAGCTGCCAAGAAGAACAACGGCAAAGACAACAACAACGCCAAGAAGAAGAACAACGCCAACTGCCAGTGCGCAAAGGGCAAGAAGAGAGGCAAGGACGCCAAGGGCAAGTCTTGCAGATGCCGCAACGGAAAGAAGAACAACGCCGCCAAGAACAATGGCAAGAAGAACAACGGCAAGAACAACAATAACAACAACAATAACGGCACTGCGACCGACAACGGCAAGAAGAACAACAACGGAAAGAAGAACGATGGCAAGAACAACAACAATGGCAAGGATAACGGCAAGAACAATGGAAAGGCCAACGGTAACGCCAACGCCAACGACGGCAAGGACAACAACAAGGGCAAAGACAACGGCAAGAACAACGGCAAGGATAACGGCAAGGGCAAGGACAACGGCAAGGACAATGGCAAGGGCAAGGGCGCAGCTGGAGGAAACAACAATGGCACCGCTGTCGACAATGGCAAGAAGAACGACGGAAACAAGGACAACGGAGGCAAGAAAGCCAACGCTTCTAGTGGCTCTGCCGCTGCCGCTGCTCGCCTGTTCTAAACATCCGTTGGGGTTGTGTTGACGAAGGTGGAGACACGAGACTTGATCATCAGGTTATTTCAATTGAGCTGAGAAATTGCATCTGAGATGGCAACATTTTCATTCCAT